AACCTGGGGTTCCGCCTCCATCAATCATGCATTCACACAAAAATACACACTCTTGTGTGTTACAGCCTGCTCAGTGTTTTATAACTAAGGTGTCACTTTATTTTTAAGCTCATTTAATAAGACAAGTTGAACCAGAACAGACTCATTTGGAGCAGCATAGAAACACATACAGTACACACATGGATCACTGTGTAGAGCTATGGGCAGCTTCTGCACAACTTCTATAATTAATTAAAGTCCCACTCCAGAAACATTTTCATTTTTATATTTGTATATAAAAATACTTTACTATAAACAATATGCAGTCTAACACAGCTTTTCCTCAAAAAAATTTCAGTGGGCCTCTGTAATAGGAATGAACATTGCCCCTCATTGTGCATTCCAGGATCTATGAATGTTGCCGTCATCCCTTATGTGGATTTGAATAATTTTGCACGCCCAATTTTTCAGTTTTTTATTTGTTAAAAAAGTTTGACATATCCAATAAATTTCGTTCCACTTCATGATTGTGTCCCACTTGTTGTTGATTCTTCACAAAAAATTACAGTTTTATATCTTTATGTTTGAAGCCTGAAATGTGGCAAAAGGTCGCAAAGTTCAAGGGGGCCGAATACTTTCGCAAGGCACTGTACCTGTAGCTCCAGTTCAGTCAGATTGCATGGAGAGCATCTGTGAACAGCAAATTTCAAGTCTTGCCACAGATTCTCAATAGGATTTAGGTCTGGGCTTTGACTGGGCCATTCTAACAAATGAATATGCTTTGATCTAAACCATTCCATTGTAGCTCTGACTGTATGTTTAGGGTCATTGTCCTGCTGGAAGGTGAACCTCTGCTCCAGTCCCAAGTATTTGCAACTTCCAACAGGTTTTCTTCCAGGATTGCCCTGTGTTTAGCTCCATCCATCTTTTCATCACCTCTGACCAGCTTCCCTGTCCCTGCTGAAGAAAAGCACCCCCACAGCATGATGCTGCCACCACCATGTTTCATGGTGGGGATGGTGTGTTCAGGTTGATGTGCAGTGTTAGGTTTCCATCACACATAGCGTTTTTCATGTAGACCTAAAAAGTTCAATTTAGGTCTCATCTGACCAGAGCACCTTCTTCCACGTTTGCTGTGTCCCCTACGTGGCTTGTAGCAAACTGCAAATGGGACTTCTTATTGCTTTTTTTCAACTATGGCTTTCTTCTTACCACTCTTCCATAAAAGCCAGATTTGTGGAGTACATGACTAATAGTTGTCCTGTGGACAGACTGTCCCACCTGAGATGTCAATTTACAAAACACACCATTAGAAGGAATAATATGGAAGAAGACAGGCACAAACCATGCACCTTATGTTATCTCACTGCAAATCACACCAAAGAATAAATATCCACGAGTACATATAAAAGCAAGAAAAACATTGATGCTTTACTGTGAGTGAAAGTTGACATTTTACATACGGACATTTTATAGACGTCACATCATCCAAACATCAGGCTCGTTTCAAGTTTGTGAACGAACAGAGAACCTTTTATTGAAAAGTCAATGGATTAGAGATGTTGGTTTTGGGAAAAGGGTGTTGACACATACGTAGATAAAATAATTTGTTTGTTTTCCTGGTGGCGTTACACACCACACTTGTTTTCTCATGGATTAAGCTTGACCTAAAACCTCCTAGCAACAAGACAAGTCAAAGAAGGCTATAAACAAAAAGTGACATTTCAAAGCTTAAACTCACTTTTAAAGGACTGGATTTATTTGGGAAATTAAGTTTACCGGGACACAGTAGACTGCTTTGTCATACGCTCTATTTTTTGTTTCATAAAATACAAAAATGTTGAACAAAAGAATGTTTCCCCTCTGGGGACAGATCTCAACTGTTCAGAGGCCTATTTTTGGTACAACAGCGTCAACAAAACACACAGTAAGGCATGTTGTAAGGGATCCTGGCTTATGCATAAATCACCTCTTGTGCAAACTCTTCATATTCAGTGACATTATACTCCACCCGACAACTTTTTAATAACACAACACATTTATAAAGTCTGCAACATCCAGAGAGCATGATGCATCTAGTGTTACCTGTGTGAGGGAACTAATACTTGTTTTTAAACTGATGGTGATTTACAGATTTTTCTTCAGCTAAACAAAGCTGAAGCCAAAAGGTCTGAACGAGGACTTTTGCTTTTAGTATTTTCCTTGTATTTGTTGATACAGTGAACACTGTGGAGTTTTCAGCAGCTAAAGAGCCAGATGTTTCTCTCAGGAGTCAGTAGAGACCAATAACACCCAAAAGAGAGAGAGTGGATGATAATGATGCTCTGGAAGTGGTGGGTGTGTAAATGAGCAACTGTTACAGTTCACCAAATCATATGAAAAGGTCACAATATGTCAATGCTGTGTTCTGTTTGCACTGACTCTGACTAATTATTGCAGGTGTATGCTGCGCACACACACACATACATTTGACTGACAAATAGATATTGTTTTGACTGTATAAAATAGTTTAGAAAATGGTTGACAGTGATGTGTTTACTGAGCTTTTAGCCTTTAGAAATGACAGACTTTGTCACTAATGTTAATTCTAAATGCTGAGGCAAATGTTTAAAACAGATGCTTGTGTTGTCAAGATCAAAAAGTGAGAAAGGAAGGTTTCTGTAGGTTCTTCCACCTGTTCTGAGCTCCACAGATGACAGTGATGAAATGTTACCGGACTTCATTTCATTCAGAGATTGTAGGTGAGTTAATTTTCCCACAATCAAGTCTGGTCTTGCCCAGAATTTGTCTGTGGGCCCTGTTTTGAGGATCCAGGGTGTCTGATCGAGATGTATTGGCACAAATGATGTTTGGGTGTGTCCATGTTCATTTCGGCAATTTGACAACTAGGACAAACGGTTCATCAAACACAGGGCTACACTTGATCTCCTCATTAAAACAAGAGTGTGTTTTAGGCGTAACATGCAAATATCCAGTCAGTGTGTAACCTCACACCCCCTTTAACAGACCATGGCGGATTGCTAGCCTACTGGCGGACTTGCCAGGTCGGATCTCAGTAAGATTTTCCACTGAAAAATGTAGTTTGACATATTTGTTTATATACCAGCGCTAAGAGAACCACTGGTCAAACTAATTAGCCACATTAATGTCTTGTTGGTCATAAGCCAATCCTCCAAATATGATCACTAATCAAAATTGTATCTGTTATATGTATATTGATGTGCACAATACTCATTGAACACGGTGTCATTTTTATTTTTTAAGTTTTGCATGTCCTGCGCAGCGCGACCCGAGGTATAACAAGCACCGTGCACGAGCATTGTGCATGCACCTAGACAGGCGTGCATCACAACAAGGTCAAAGCGTCCATTATCTAGGATGATGATTTGACTGTTGACCGCAGACCTGGTTTTTGCTGGTCAGTCAGTCACTTACTTGGTGTGCCCTCATATTACCGACGCGGCCAAAACGTACCTGAACACATCCTATTCTCATCCGGACACACCTGCCATAAAGGAAGTTGGCAGGCTGCTGCGTGGTGAAAAGGCAGCGTGATGCACGTCATTAAATTGTCGGGTAGGAAACTGGGAAACAGAGACGCACTACCCGTTCCGCACGCAGTGTGCCTGTTGCGAGATAGGGCCCTGTGTAATGATATGATGATAATGACTTTATTTGGCCACGTATGTTCTACACACAAGGAATCTGTCTCTAGTACAGAGACAGAACCAAGGCAGCGCCAACTCACACACACCAATGACGACGCTGTCCCCACAGGGTGCTGCTGTGGGTGCAACTTGGGGTTCAGTGTCTTCCCCAGAGACACGTTGGACTCAAACCTCCAGCCTTCCAGGTTGGAGATGACCTCCACCTCTACCTCCTGAGCCACAGTTGCCTATAACAGGAAGAACACACAGAACGTTATGAAATGGTATCAGTCATCTTTTGAAATATTTTGCTGAGAGGGAGGCTGTTTGGGCCCGGTGAAATGCCTCTATTGTTTTGCCCACAGATCCTTGGTGTTTCTCAGCTGCTGTCACTTGGAGAGAGGGTGCGTGGGAGAAACCAGCCAAACAAATCCTTATTCCAGTGACAACTAAGTCAACAGGAAAATCCAAACTGAGGCAAAGAACAGAGAGGACTCTAACTAGGCAAACATTCAAACATACAGTATAATGCCTATAAACAAATGTCTGCACTAAATTTCACGGCATTGCAACCAATGCTGCCAAGACAAGGCACTGGAAATCACATTCCAACCTCAGAGTGGCACCAAGATAAAAGTCAGAGCATCTCCAAAATCCATAGTATTCATCATCTGGAAATCATTAATGTCATTACAACATACGTACAGTCTTAAATACGCCTTGAAGCAAAGTATTTTGTATTTGTATAATTAAGATCACTGCAGAGGCCTCTCTTCTGACATTAAAGGTTTCCCATCATGTCCTGCGCTTTTGCATATGGAATTCACTTCTGTGGCTGCATTAAGTCCTTAATAGTCTTATTTGTTATGGTGATGCATCACAAGAAAAAAATTTCAGAAAGGAAACGGTGCAATGTTGCCTCTGGTTGTGGCAAAGCATCAACATTTCACATATCTGCTGTACAAGCTGCTGAACGGACAATGTTTTAAGTCTCTGAGCCACTTTCTTGCCATCTTCGAGGTTTTGTTTTCAGTCCAACACACAGACACCTTTTGTCAGCCAACTGACCATTACAGGAAGATGAATCTGTGCCTCTGCAAAGTCCAGACTTCAGGATGCACTCACCAACTATAAGAATGGAGGATTCCTCTTCACCAAGTTAAAATAAGATGAAGGAAGAAGGGCAGATCCTGAGCTGTGGTTTGAGGTTATCCTGAGTCAGGAAGGAATCGCCTCCCCTTCTTCTCCCTCTGGAAAATCTTACAGGCATGGCCACATGAAGACGAGTCAGCCCTGCCAAACACAGCTACTGTACAAAGGGGAAAAACTGTTTGTATGAATCATACATAAAGAAGCCATACTCAGACGTCTGCTGCTGTTCATGTCTCATGGTGTTTCTAGAGATGGGCATGGGCCAAGAATGTTCAAGTTCAAGATGTATTTGTTTCTAATTTCTATGCTGACTTTAATATATCAAAAGGCCAAAGGACACCGAAAAGTTAAATGTGATTGCAAAAGCATGGCAGAGATCTTGCGATTTTCTGAATGCACTTCAATTGTTTTTGTGTTTGCTCACCAATACTGTTTGTCTCATGTGAAAATGTGTCAGTGGAACCATGCCCAGAGGCGAGACAACCATCATACCCAGTCAGATCTTCCCTCAAGCTCTCTCTCTCTCTCTCTCTCTCACGCATGCACGCACGCACACACACACACACACACACACACACACAGAATGCAGGTATAGTTTTGTGTTTTGCGGTTGATCTTTGCGGACTAAATCATGAGAAAATGGAGCTACTGCCACAATGTGGCAGGAGTGCAGAACTGCAGTTTGAAAGAAAATTAAAGAAAAAGAGTATGAAAACAAAATATATGTTTATTGAGAATTTTGAATCCTGCTTGCTCACCCTTCCACAGTTGGAGAAAGACAACAGACAATATTAGATAAAATCTGAACACATAAATACTTTTTAACTTGTATCAGGAAATAAAAATTAAAAAAAAAAGTAAAAAAGGAGAGGAAGTGAATGGGAGGGCACCCGAGTATGTGCCCTACTCTATCAAAAACAAAACCTAGTGGCTGGTGGTCTGTCCCTAAACCTGAACATAAATAATCAGAATGTGCTGCAGAGACACCAGTAGTGCAGTGGTGGAGTGAGCTGAAGGATTCAGTCTAAATTCCTCTGTCTCTGACTCTCCTCCTCAATCTTCACAGGAATAGTTTGACATTTGGGAAAGATTTGCTTTCCAGCACAGAGTTAGATGTGGAAACTGATGCCACAATCATATCTGTTCCAGCAACAAAACAAAACAAAAATAAACTAGAAACAGGAGCTAGTCTAGCTTGATAACAAAAACCACATAACCAGCCCAATTAAAGCTTCCAAAGGTGTATATCCTGTTGGTCTAATCTGTATAAAATTGCTAAAAAACAAAGTAACAAAAATAATGGGATGGATGTGGTGGGGTCTGTGGCGGACTGATTCCTGGCTTGGACTCCTGCCAACAGGCACAAACCCTCTCCCTCAAACAGCTCTGGCATTTTACTCTTCAGATTTTGCACAAATTAATGAAATATGAAGACCAACTTTAGCTCCTGTCAACATATTCACTACTAACACATTATATCTTGTCTGTTTAATCTGTAAAAGATAAATTTGTACAGATCCGCTGTCAGACAGGGAACAAACATGTTTCCCAAAATGCCAAACTATCTCTTTAGGAAGGTGAAGCTACAAGGGAGGGGGTGACAATATGCAGCTGTGGCTGCTGGTGTATGGGCTTATTTTCTCACTTAGTTAGGTACCAATAGAAACATGTCTGGCACAGACAGGTGGAGAAACGACACAGGATAATTACAACTGTCTGAACAATTCAGTAAATCATGTTAAAACAAGAAAAACAATCTGGGTGTTTTCTCTGTATCCTAAGAAATTTAACAGAACACTTTAGGCAACAAAATAAAAGAAAAACCAATTCCTACAGACAGGTGATACAGAAAAACACACGTCACCTCCATCCAAATTGTCCCTGCAAGTGCCAGCCTGAGTGTACATGCAGTGGGGGCTGATGGGGGAAAAGAGGATTAACCACCACCCTTTACCAAACCGTGCCAAATGCAGAACAACGCAGAGCCAGAGGTGAAAACTGACTCGGCCACTGCACCTTTCTCAGCTTTTTGTCTAAAAAGCATGTACTTAAAAACCCATTCACGTCACCCAATGACCACATACTTTTGTCACCAGGGTAATGTGAGTGCACAGTGGCAGCAACATGGAGCTCCTGTATTGTTCAGTGTCTTCTCTCTTCACCTCCTGTTTTTGGCACTGATGAGTTTAGTAAGGTACGTGCATGGAATCCCACATGTGGATGCATTTATGTATTTTTTAGGTATGTGTGATTAAGATCATGGCTGTGCATTTTTATGTCTCACTCACACTCAAATCTTTACACTTTGTTTTCATTTGCCCTAAACCAAAAATCATAGTCTTCAGGGTGAGGAGGGAGCATCTGATAGGCTTTGTAAAATGCAGGTGACCCCCGCCCCAAATTTCTACTTTCTCTCTCTCTCTCTCTCAACAAATCTTTCTCCCCCTCCTCAGTCATGGATGCTAGCGGATGGCCTTAACCGGGCTCTTGAAGCTGGAGGCGGCTTGCAGCTGCAGCTGGTAAGCCATGGGGTGGATCTTGAATCCATACAGCCTGTAAGAAAAAGAATGCAAACACCTTTGGACACCGTTTATGTTGCTTAACAACAGTGGCGACAGAAGTCTGGAGTATAAATACTGACATGACAGAAAATCAGGGGCATGTACAGCAAATTTAATTAGGTTGTTTACACTGAGATCAATCATGTATTTGCTTTCAGGGAGTGAGCAGCAATGGCTGTCCCTCAGCTGACATTTTCTGCAAAGTGATGACTCTACTGCAAACAAATTGGATGCAGAGATCAAGAAACTGTCTTAGTCAACAAATACAGAAAATAGGACTTAAATAAACAGAAGTATAAAATCCATTCTGAGAGAGAATTTACCCCATATGCCCAAGGTAACGTTGAGTTGTCACTTATAAACACCTTCATGACAAAGTGAGGATTAAAAACCTGGATAAATTAGAGAAAGCAGTTGCCCAGAAAAACCTGAGATCAATGACCTTTTTGTCACTTGTTAGTAAGGTAACAAGTTGAGAAAAAAGACCAAGTGAATAAATCTTCAATCTTAATGTAGCTTAAAAGCTCAAACTCAGTATGTGTAAGAATGTTTGACTGATGGACTCCCTGCTAATGATATGTATATATACACAGTCTAATTCTATGGTGAGAACAAATAACTGAAGCATGCTCCTTTGACAAGGTTATTCAACACTATCACTGCAATTTATACACAATAATATTCCCTTCCATGTGCATACAACAGCAAACGCTGCAGGTATGTATAATACTGCTACAGTGCAACATAGTACTAGCCAACAGGAGCACTTCTTTCAGCTCAACTTGCCATACTAACCTTGGCACAAACTGGTTGGCGGGCCTCTTGGGCCTGTACTCAGGGTGAACCATGAAGAGCATGTGGGGGAAGCCAGTGCCAAAATAAGCTCCATCTGTGTGGTGGTGCCTGGATGACTTAGGTGTGTAGACATCCATGCATTTAGGGCAGTACAGCTTCACCATGGCCTCTCCAGGGATGTCTGACAGGCCTGAGGAGGAGGAAGAGTGGAAGCAGAGGAGGGAAGAAACTGGCTTAGATACGAACTTAAAATTTTTCTACTGTATCTAAGACAGAGACAGCCCTGACCTTACTAGTATGGTACAAATAGATCTTAGTTTCTGTCCGACATTTTCACATCATGCCCATGTAACCTTGATAGAAACAAGTTGTTATGATTTTCAGCAGTCCAAGGTTTCACAGACAGATCTGTTGACTCAAAAAAAAAAAAAAAAAAAAAAAAAAAAAAAACTACAGAAAGAAAGCCTATGTGCCCTCAATGGACTGATAAAAGTAACAAAAAAAGAGGGCCATATCTCAAAGTGCCTGGAAAAAATAACAAAATTTGCCAAACAAATTAATGTTGTGTTCATTACCATGGTGAATGCAGAAACCATGCAAAGGATTAGGACATCTATGGTGACAGAGTGTTTATTATGGCCATATAAACCACAAAATTTTAATACTCACCAATAGGGAGCATAGACTGATTCTCACAATAGACACGGGGGCAATAGCCAAAGTCTCCCTGCTGATATTTCTCCAACTGCAAGAGAGAAATGAGAATAAAAGGGTAGTAACAACATTATGACATGGCCACTTTTAGCCCCTTGTGTCCAGTGTAAATGCCACTTTAGAAGTACTGACCTGCCCAAACTTTGACTGACAGAGAATTGCTCTGGTATACAACCCTCAAAAGTCAACCATTATCATCCCTTTCACTGAATATATGTCAGTAGCAGAAAGAAAGTCCAAAAAAAAAAAAGAAATGGAAAAAGCATCTTCCCTAATGGAGAGAGGAGTGGTGGATTTTGCTGATGTAGCTGGCGCCTACCATCTGTGCGATGCCTCGGTTAGTAAGGATGTAGCGTGCGTGGATGAGGCCGTACAGCATCTCAGCTGCCTGCTCAATCAGGTCACTCTGATTGGGATTGTCCTCCAGCTCCTCATCTAAAGACAGAAGAGAACAAAAGGCACTGTTTCTGTCCACATTACATTTGATAGTAAAAAAAGATGAAAAGCTGTTCCAGGAAACATTTTCAAAAGGACTGAGAGGTAGCTCTTGTTACAGAGTTTTTCCTTTTCTTAAAAGAAGAATAGAAATACAATAGGTTTCTACAGGCGCTTCATCAATCGGTGTTTGAAATGGCAAAAAACAAAGACAACAAACATTTCAAAAGAGTCTGAAAAGTAGTTGAACTAGTGCTTCTAAGATCCAGTGAAAATGTATAATGTCTTAGAGTGGAAGACCTGTATTAGCAAGCTGGCTGTTACGTTATGTGTAATCACCCATCCACTGGCTGAGGAGCCTCAACAGCCTTAAACAAATGTTCATTCTCATTTGTCTTTTTTTAGACGACATGCGACAGTGCTGAAGATGAAAGATTCCAAGTGCAGCGCATGTACCAGTCATGAAACATGTCCAGCTCTTTAATCCTACCGCTTCATCTGGGTTTCACATCTCAGCTAATAAATAAAGATGCAGATAAACCTTTAGTCTCATTGTTCATGGTTTCAAAATGGTTTAAAGGGGCAGTGTTTGAGAATACGGAAGTGTGACCATAATATACAGACCTGGTTCAAGATCCAGGATCATGTCTAGGGCCTGGCGATAGTGGGGAACCTGCTCATTGAGGCCTGTCAAGTTGAACTTGTCCTGGATGTAGTCTTCATCTACCTGTCATTGGAGAAGCCAAAAATCTTGTTTGTGAAACTTTAAAACAGCTTGATGTTATTTTCTCCCAGCTTACAGAACATTTAGAAGTTTTACCGGTGATCTCAAACTATCAAGATTTTTCCCATAAGTTTTGTGAGTGGATCTGCAACAGACATGCCCACATTTAAAGAAAGTATAATAGTATACAATCCTGGAACAGGGCTAGATGTGGATGAATGTGTAAAGTTTTTGTTTTAATTGCAACATGAAATAACACATTTACAGGACAAAGGACATAATATAGAAGATGAGAACATTAACAAAAGAAAAAGTTAAATTTAAATTTAAAGATAAGTGAGAAATGTGAACATGGATTTGAAGCTTTTTTTTTTTTTTTGCTTGACAAAACAGATTTTATTGTATCTTTATTTTGATGTCACTAGTTGGATGGCAACAATTAATACACACTGACAAATCAGACAGAGAATAAAGAAACTGACCTCACAGAAAAATTCATTCCCCCTTAGCCCACAAAACCAGGAGATCCATGACACTTCTTCTGAACTGCTCATCTCTGAGGACCTACAAAACAAGAGATGGAAACCTTCAGATATGATCCAGAAATTAATCAACAATGTGTCACACATTTGGTGGCATGGTCACTACAATCACACATCCAAGGTTCAGTGTTCTCCATATACAATAGATCACAATATACATTTTTTTTAAATCATTCTAAATGTCCACACTGTAAATACTTTACACAGATATAGTCTGTACACCTGACACCAATTTCCTGTCTGTCTGCTTGTCCTGGAAGAGGGATCCAGCCTCTGTGTGCTGTGAAGCACTTTGGATAAACTGTGTTGTTTGTGAAGAGCAATATAACTAAAACCGAGCTGAATCCATTTAATAAAATTTCTTAATCAAAAGTAAAAGTACAAGATGCAAATGAACAAGTAAAAGAAATATGAATAGACACAGGCCATACCTTAAGACAAATATCACAGACGTGACAGTCTATGGTAAAGTTCAGGCCAACAGACGCAGGAATAAGTAGTTTAACTGATGGGTAGAAGATTGATAAAATCTGGACTTGAAATATAGTTACCAAATAAAAAACTAAACAGTCTGATGGAACTATGTTTAATTTTCTCCAAAATACTTTGTAAATGAGTATTCATAGAGTAAATGTTTTTGTTTTCTTCCTTTATACACACACATTAAACTTGATGATGATGATGATAGATGCCAACTGTGAGGAATGCCAAACACTGAAACTACTCTCCAAATAACGTTATATCTTAGTGCAAAAGGTATTCCTTCTACTGGTTATATTCTTTATCGGTATTTTTTCAATGCTCTTCAACAACGACACTGTGAAATTGCATTTCACTGTCATGAGCAGAGTAACTTGTCTGTTGAAGAAACCCAAAACTGATGAAGGGTAGGCTACATAATTAGCCTAACTATCTTGCTAGCGTTATCTTCCGAACACTTTAATAATGTGCCGTTGCAGTACACATTGTGGTCTTACCTCAGTTAAAAAACATTTGTTAACTGGGGACCCAGTCTTAAATGTGATTGTGATCATACGCGACGACAAACAGTTAACCTACAGCCAGGGTTAAGCTAGCTCGCTAAGGCTAGCGACCCAAAATGAAATTCAATATGGCGCATCGTTAGAAAACGGGCCTCTTGACAAACATTTGCAACTTCTAAAGCTAATTCTTCTGCGTTTATACGTTAAAATACAGATATGTGAAGAATTCTACCAACTTACCTGGCTTTCAACTTTTAACTCCTGAAAAATCCGAGAAACCAAATATTTAGCACTCTTCCCGGTGTAAATAAGATGGACACCACCTCCCAGTTCAACCTGACGTTTACGTTATTCTTCTTCCTCCGGCGTCTC